TGAAGTCCAATACTGGACTCGGAATGCAAGGGAAGAATAACAGTAACTGTTGTTGAAACTAGCACCGACTCGTTGTTGTCTAAGAGTGGGATACCCATCTTTGAGTCCTACTTTGTAGCTGACAAAACTTCCTTAAGAAATGCACGGACACCGAAAACACTTTAAAGACAACAAAAAGACGATTATTCGGTGCTGGAATCTGTGGTTCTATTCTGATAGTGCTGCCATCAAAATTCAAAATTACCTCAACATTGCAACTTGATAGCTGTATGGCCCAGCTAATTTTCTATGTACAAAAGCACTGTGGAAAAGAATTGGGCTACCACAATCCCACTGTAAAAAGTACCTTAAATTCAAGAAGAATATTCTCAACAGGGTCGGATCAGAAACTCTGTCAACAAGAATCACACACTAACACTCCCTGCAGATAGTCCAACGTTAGAATTATCTTGATTCATTCAAACAAAATCACAACCGACAACACATTATCAATGTGTTGTGATTAAACAGGGACAAGGACAAAGGATAAGGACCAACTCGACATGTAGTATGCAAATGTCGAAATAATGACATACAGTCCAGGAGAAAATGAATTAATTAATTAAATGTTAGTTAAGACGTCCAATGGTTGAAGAGGTATTTTCCAATCAGTTATCCTGTTACTTCAATAATAATAATAATAATAGTTAATCAAATCTAGTGCATATATGACTAAAATATCCTTTATATTAACGGAATGGACGCTGATAACATCAATGATTAGTAAAGAAAACTAAGGCCATGTAAATAATTTTGGTTAACCTGATCATTTTCGTGATAAATTTCAATTTATCATACTGGTTATTTTTAGCATTCTCTCTCTTCTCCTTTCCTCTCTAAGGCAAGAATTGTGGGTATTAGTTATAGGATTTTATCATGAGTTGACATTGGTTAGAGAACAAACGGAAAATCTGAGACTACTGGATAACTGTTTCGTCCTAGTTACCAACTCTTCAGTAGTACGCACCTAGTGGGTTTGAATCTGAGTCCTTTCACTTAGGAGGCGTGATCATAGATCATTCAGCCACCGGGACCTGATCCAATGACCAGCCCATGAATTTCAACTTCTCAGAATTCGTGATTTTAGCGTGACCACTAGCCAGTGTTGTCGCCGAGTATTTGTCCTCAAGCCCAACACTGTTCTACCCCACTCTGTTTACGACTTCTCACTAGAAAAGCAGGATCAACGAAATTCTTGAAATCGAAGTATTCTTGTAAATATATTGAGTAGACTTTATTTCACATTTATAGTATGAATTTCTTTAATACTTGGGATTAGGGAATTCTCAATACATCATGAAATATTCTTTCAATACCTGGAGTTAAAGTCTGATGCTTTTTATGCATATTAAATTCGTTTGAATTTCAGATGTTCTGCAGCTAAAACAGACATCACTGTGTTTTTTTTTCTATCTCTCTGATAGCTGAGAATTGATAAACCCCTGGTAATTATCATTAAGCCACTTATTTTAAGCGTTTTCAATCAGTTAACCTTCCCTACTTCATTACCTTTCAGCCATGAACTTCAGCTAATCGCTAAGTATGAGAAACATCAGTTTTCAATTAAAAATCCAGAAATCATATCATAAAGTAGTAAACAAAGTATGTGTTTTCTCTCTTGAACATACGCATAAACTGTTTTTGGAAACTTCTGAAAAATTCTTTCACTTTCAAAGCGGACAGATAGTCGACATCATTTGGGAAACCAATAGAAACTAGGGTCTACTGGATCAGTCAGCAAGGCGCACGCATGACCCCACTAGAGATCGAACCTAGAGGCTTCTGGTTTCAAAGTGAGCCCATCTTGAACTACACAGCTGTCGAGTAATTCCTTGTTTTCAACGGTTCATTATATAATGTCAGTTCGTGATCAGTCTTAGAATAAATCAAATCCCTGTTGAGCAACGCTTGAAAATGTTGTCATGTTTTTGGTAGATGCCTACTTCCCAATATCAGGAATTCCAATATTCTAATGCTATATGCAACCAGGAATGTTATGAAAACCATAATCATCCTGTGTTCATTCTTATTGCATTCGACTAATTGCAAATATCATTTCTTTTTATGCATTGTTTTAATTTGTTTGCATATTTGTCCACACTGTCCGTCTGTCTGTCTGGATTCAACACGGAACTTGGCACCGAAATGCAGCAGTTCGAGTTGCCACGTTCCAGTTAGCACACAAAGTTAGGGAAGAAGATGGGTGAAGAGAATCAGTAGAGTTTTGACAAGTATAAGAGTGAAACAGAATGAGTAATTGTAGAAAGGAATATGAAAGATTACAGAGACTGAATACATCTGCGCCATTGACAACGATTTTGAGCCATGTCACCTATTGTCTCCAGCCATTGATTCTTAGAGTCCCGAGCGCGGGCCCCAACCTGGAAGTCTGCATCTCCCTACCTGACTCAGTTTAACTGTCAGGGATTTCATGGATTGATGCCATGTTTTTGTTTGGCCACCACTTACTCTTTTCTAACCTGCACCTATATCAGCTAGTAATGCCCGTCGGGAGAGGCGATGGTTAGGCATGGGCAAAACGTGACCTAACCATCTCAGTCTATGTAACTTTATAGCATCTTCGATTGATTTTCCCTCTTTGCCCAACACTCTACGCCTAACGTCAACATTACTTACCTTATTATACCACCTAACGTGAGAAAGAGATAGTAGAAATCTATGATCAAAAACAGTCACACAAGTCCACCTATTACTGAAAAGAACCCAAACTCAAGAAGTATCTCTTATTATTTACTTCTTTTCGAATAAATGAATAATACTGACCGACATAAAACGACCTTTTTACTTACATCTGTGCATACTGTGGGTGAGGTAAATCACTTCTCGATAAGACAGGATAATCCAAAACAAACAAAATGAAAAAAAGTCCTATTTATGAATATTTGTTATATAATTAAAACTGATAATCCTATCCTCGTGATCATGCTGTGAATACTGATTATGAGATTGGCTTTATCTTATTTCATACCTATATCAAGGTCAAACATCTTAAAGAGATTAACGAAATTAAATAATTCTAAAATCCACTGGGGGCTTTTTTTCTCAGTGTACAGGGATTATTTTAGTTTTATATTCTGCATTAGGATTTCAGAATGCAATCAAGATAGTGTGACGTAGTTGTGTTTCTTTGGACAACAAATAAGCACAGTTGTAGTTGATGGTTGGAGAAAATCGGCTGACCTAGGTTTCGTGCTAGTTAACATTCACCAGTCAGCATGGCGTATCTGCAGTCACCTTGAAGGAATTCATGTCCCTTCTGATTTACTTGTTCCACTAGTTACTAGTGTCCGATCAAAGAACAGCTATGAATATGTATCCAACTTATTAGGTAACTATTTCGTGTCGAAAGGGCATTTGAGTAGCTATCGTTCTAAAATACTTCTCAATTGCGTGGTTGGCGACCACTTTGCCTCTGTGCCATCGACGCAGTGTGACGTACGGATATGTAATGCTGTATTTATTTTAGTACGTGTATATGAAATGTGTCTATCTTATTACCCATTTTCGCTTTTTAAATTCCATTTCTTTTGTACCCGTATGTATTTAATGAACAAACCTTTCTAATATTTACTCAGTACCCATACGTAATCGTTGCCACCTTCTGTAACCTGTCAATTGTGTATTTTTCTACATAACAACATATTTTTGCCAAGGATTTCACCTGTTTTCATCCTTTAGTGTAATCTAATGACGATAGGCGTTAGATGCTTATCACGGATTTCTTCTAATAAATGAAAATGGATATTAAGAAGGGTGAAATTGAGAGGATTTTATCTACTTCAAATTTGCAGATCTACAATCGAAAACCGACAGACTGGAAGAATAGGCAAGCAGAGAAGACAGAGGTGACAACAAGAAGTACCAATCAACAGCAAACATTTGAAGGAACTTACTTCGTTCATCTATCTAGACTGCATCTTTGCAATTACAGGCGACATAGATGAGAATTTCAGAGCCGAGATCCAAAAAGCAAGGAAGACCGTCATTACTTTGAAGTCAATGCGGAAATCTACTCGAATCCGCATAAACAGCAAAATTAGAATTTTCAACATTAATATCAAGTTAGTCAATCCTTCTGTATATGGTTTAGGAACTTGACATCCTAAAAAACATCTTGAACAGACTTCAAAATTCTATCAACGGCTGCCTCCACTGGCTTCATAGTGAAGTCCAGATGACCGAACAGAAAGAATTGGCAACAAGAAATTCTGAGAAAGAATCAACCAACAACCTGTGGTCCAGTAAATATTCTGAAGGAAATGGAGATAGATTGGACAGCTGAGTGAAAACTATGAGATTATCAGATATAAAGTACAGGACATCAGCATGCCATTAAAAGCCTTTCAATTACGACTAAAGCAGTGAAATTAAACCGAATGAAGAACCTAACAACGCTAATAGTCTACAGCTTCAAAATGTTTGCTTCCTCAAACTAATGGCGAATGAAAATAATTTCTGAATTAGAAATTTTATTTTTCGGGATAGGGTTGCTAGCCTCATGCCCAGCCTTCCCTCTTTACCAGTCTTATTACTGGCTTAGCGAGGCTTGGTGGTGCGTTGGCTGGGGATTTGACACCAAACTACTTGAGTGGTTGGCGGGCATTCTACCGCTTTACCACCGAAGCACGAATTAGAAAAAGTTCAGTGATTTCGTTTAAGTCAACAGTATACGCTACTGAATGGGGCTTATATTGTCTAGTTTGTGAAAAGACGATATTTGTCTCCTTCAAGACTTCATTCTATCAGCTGTATTTTTTCAGCGAAAAAGCTATAGCCTTATAAAAAAGTACTCACACTTTAAAGCCTGAATTTTTAGCAGTGATGATGTACAAGTGTGCATTTTCTTCAGTGTCTTAATTACCTTTCTACTTTACATATCAATTTAAGTAGTAAAACACAAGCTGTTAAAAATTTATTCTATGAAAGTTTATAAAATAAAACATCTATGATATGAGTACCGTAGTACCACATGTATGGGCTGATTACATAATAATGCGTTAAAAAACAAAAATATTTGCACTGAATATTATGCTATTATTGTCTTCTCATCGTGCCATACATGACATCTATCAAAAGACCATGTGATGAGTAAACACAAACTGGACAAACATAATAAGAATAAAGGCCAGAATAAAGTATTGAACATTGTTGACGGTCCGTAGAATTTGTGCAGCAGTGCTTCTTTAATATGATCTTCGTGCACATAACACGGAAATCGTGCAGCTTTTTTTATTAACTGACAAAAGTGGTCCACCCATTCATGATTTGCTGAATTTTGACGATGACATGAGCTCGTTGCACACTAGAATCATAAAAAGATAAAGTTGAATTGTTATTATTATTATTATTCATGTATTCTTATCAAAAGCCAAAAAAGTACAATGAGTGAAAAGCAAACCAATGTAGTTTTAAATGATCATGGGTAAGATCACGAACTGAAATCATTTAGACCACAGGAGAGACTTAGATATCCGTTTTGTCCTAGTTCAGGACTCTTCAACATCATGCGGTAACTATCCTACTGTGGGTTCAACCTTTTACTTTCGTACCAAGAGGCGGTCTTGTTTACTGATCAACCACTGAGATGAAAACCAATTATAACTTCTGCCTACTTCATGAGATATAGGTTTCTTGCCAGGAGATACCATCGGCTGGTCTTTGTCCTCAAATCCAACTAGGAGGACCTTAATGGTCACGATTCCTGACTGGAACTTCGGGCAACTCCATCCTTTGGTCATTCAAAGGCGAGTGATAGATTAATTTCCAAATGTTCTTCTAGTCAAATAATTCCTTCTTTTCAATGATCTAATTCTTAAATAATAAGAATAAACCAAAATTTATAAAGTCTATATGCTTAACAAGTTTCTTAGTTCACCAATATGAAAGTGAATCATTCAGCATATGTTGACAGGTGTTGAAACACATTCTTGAAGCCAAATAAGGCAGACTCCAAGTTTGAGAAAAACGTTCAAATAAATTTCATCACCAACTAATTCAAAATATTTTTGGAAGTAACAGTACAGTCGCATTTATATTACAGAAAAAGTTAATAAGTGGCACTAAATAATTGCTCAGTCGATATACATATACAAGTGATAAGAATAACGATAATTAAAATGTTATAAGGGGTAGAGTTGAAGTGGATGAATTACAAAATTATTAGAGATTGTTTTATAAGTGAATTTATATGAAAAATATCTTTAGAAAAACGTCAAGTGTTGTCTAAAAATTTTAAAAATGAGGAGTACCATTACGATAAGAATGAAGATGTGAAGTGAAGTGGGATAAATTCAAAAGGTTAAATAAAATAAATTAAAAAACTAGAAAGAACATTACTATGACCAAGATAAAGAAAGGGTTTTGACAAAACGTTTTTGAACACACAATTTAGGTTTCTATTCATGTATAGCTAAAACTTCGGTTATGCATAAGTGAAGAAAGCGTAGACTAGTTGCAAGTCAGCTGCAGGAAAAGTGCGTTTAATACATTTAGATGAATGGTTTTTAATCAATTCAGAAATGATGTCACATTTGAATGCAAGACCCATAAATAGGTTTTTTTTGGCTCTGTGATTTGTCTAGGGGTGGATTCTTTCTTGATGTTACGTTCAATAAACCTTGTAGGATATCCATTGTTAAGGAGATTTGATCGAAGTTTATTTAGTTCATTATCGATTGTCGCTGCAGAGCAGATTTTACAAATTCTGGAGCATAAGGAATGAATAAGTTTTCTCTTTCTCTCTTAAGGTACCCAAATGTTGAATTTAGTGTACTGCCCAGTGAATGTTGGCCTTTGGTAAATCGATCTTAACAGCGTTCCATTCTCTCTTCTATCTAGCTTAGCGGCGAGGAAGTGAAACGAGGAATTCGAGTCTTCTTGGACCATGAAAAGCAAAGATCAGTGAGAACCATTAAATATTCCAAGAAGTTCAGCAGTTGAAGAGTTTTCCTCACAGACAATGAAAGTATCATCTAAATATCTTTTATGCTGTATAAACGTTATGTAGATGATACTCTCATTACTGGTAATAATAGTAAATCAATTGAAAACTTTATTACCCTAGTTAATCATATTCATCTAAATATCGGAGTGACTTCCGAACTAGAATCGAATAACAAACTTGGTTTCCTCGATATTACTATGACTAGGAGAGAGATGATGGAACGATTCAGCGATCTATTTTTCGTAAACAGACATGGAGTGGACAATATCTTCATTTCACCAGTTTTGTTCTTTTCCAGTATAAACGTTCCCTAGTGAAATGTTTGTTCTCAAGGGCCTGAAAAATATGCACGAGTGACACAATGATGGATGAGTTTCGACATACACATTCAGTTTTATTATCTAATGGTTATCCGGAGAACTTTATCACTTGTCACAGTTAAGGAAAACCACATCTTGAAAAGACAGCTTCTGTAACAAAGGAAGCTATCTTTATTGACCTATCATTCAAGAATGACCAGATTATGCAGTTGACAGCTAGCTCAAAGACTTCGGTCAGCCATTAAACGCACATTCTACGCCGCATCTCTTTTTCTCGCTTGCCGAAGATTTTCGATCCCAGTACCTACTATTAAGGGACGAAATTCTATGGACTCTACTTCAAACTGTATCTGCGAGTTCACCTGCAGCTGCGGTGACACCTATATAGGTAGAACCAACAGAATGTTCCAATGTCGTGGTCGAAAAGAACATGTTCCGAAATGGCTACTAAATCATATAGAAAATACCAATGCCAGTAATCTGAATAGAAATCCAGCATCATCCATTGCAATACACTTAATAATGTCAGGTCACAAAATAAATATTAATGGCTGTTTCACAATTATTTCACATAACTCTAATTCAAGGTTATCGAAGGTGATGGGAACACTTTGGATTAATCACATGCAGCCTAAACTGTGTGTACAAAAATCAATAGACTTCAATCTTCGCCTACCATGGACAACATGACCAATCTAAATATGATTGGTCATTAGTATGTACTTTTGTTTTTTTATTTAACTGAGTAATTGTCATGAACTTTATGTTATTTTATTATTGTTAACCATGTTAGTTGTTGAGTGGTTGTAAAGAAACTACGAAATGAGGATATCATCTCGCGAAATTTTTCTTCTTAATACCTTATTCAAATTTTAACCTTGTCGAATTTCCAGCCCTTTCTTCCTTTATGCCGTTGAGTATTGCGTAATTAAAAACCTTTACTTTTGAAGCCGCTTCTGGGTAACTGCGTCATCCCCTTCTATTAATCAATAATGGACTAAGATACATTTTTGGTAAATGAAATACGACTGTACAACCTCCGAAGATGATTTCGTCGATAAGGAAAATTTTTTACGCTGACTTGTCTTTTAGTTTCCTCACGAATCAATGGGTATTTTCGCTAACCTGAACTACTACTTTCCAGTTAATGACAAAATGCAGTTATTATGCTGTGTTGTCAGCGACTAATAAGCCCATGCACCTAAATTGCCCTACTCCACAAGAACCAAACAGCTGTTCTGTGCCTCTTTATTTTAAGCAGTTTCGTATAAGAAATCAAGTCTTGCGAAGAGTTAGTCTTAATTGCCTTTTATGATAATTTTCTACACAAGTTATATTAGAGATAGTATTTTCAAACGTAGAAACTGCTGATGTTAATGCACAGGGATAGCTTATTCTGAGCCTAGTGTCATTTCCTGTTCACAACAAAATGAATTCATTATTTAGCCTCTTTTTAGAATATTCAGAGCTCATAATCATGAATTTTTAATAGCCAAACCTAGTATAAACTGTTTTTACAGATAATTTTCGTTATAAAATAATTTATTAATGATTACTCTGGTTACCTTTTCCACCAGATCTATAAGAAATGGTTCCTACTGCTTAATCATTTATCATGATTCCAGAAGGATTTTTTCATCAGGGATGATACAGCTATCTGAGACAACTTTGGGTTGACCGACCATCCTTGATGGAATGAGCAGTGATTGAACTCTACACAAAAATATGAGTACAGCAGGATTCGAACTATTATTATCATTGTTTCCTTTAATTCATAGAGGAACATAGGGCTTCAGCCGTGCGTCTACATTGCGTTCGCTTCTCTGCCATTCTAAGCTGGCTCCACGTCTGCCCACACATTTTCATCTCCTCTTCACATCACCTCCTCCAAGTCACCCACCCTCGCACTGACGACCAACTCGCCGCTTCCCTTTCGGGTTCCACTCGAGCAATGGCTTGTCTAGTGATATCACTTGATGATTTGTTTCCTCAGAATATGGCCAGCCAATCCATCTCCATTTCTTCCTGCCTATTTGTTTCACAATCGGTTCCTGCTCGGTTGGTTCGCTCATTGCAGAGATCTCTGTTGCTGATCTTTACTGGCCAGCCATCTGATCTTGAGTAATGAGCGAAGATAACTGTTAATGAAGGTCTGTAGTTTGTTTGAGATGCTCTTTATGACGCGCAGTGCAAGTCTCTGATCCGTATAGTAGCCTTGACTTCAAATTGGAGAAAAAATCCGGATCACATTTCTCATTCTAAGCAGGGCTGTTGACCACCACACAGACTTGAGAGAAATGAAAGCTTGCTTTTCCTTCCCGATCCTGGCTCTGATATCCTCGTCAGTTCCGTTCGCCTGTAGTTGAAACGATGTTTCTAAGGTAGGTGGTAGAGGACGTTGTTTCTTTAGGTTCCAGGATTCGAACTAAGGGCTCCTTAATTATTAACTAATGCGTTTAAAAATATATATAAGAGCAATTTATATATGACTAACTAATGATTTCCAAACACAAAAGACGATTATATTATTTCAGCATCTTTATTTATTAGATAAAGTTTGATGTCAGACGTATTCAAATGTACATTCTACGGCTGAGTAAAAACATTTTTGAATCAATCTGAATCAGATTAAAAACCCGACACCTCTGGTTTTAAAACTTCTGTCGATAAACCCTTACATTCAGAAATCGGTACTTAGAAACTAATAGCTGTAGGTTTCTTATCTTGTGAGTATTGATTAAGGTGTATAAATTAAGGTATGCAATAATACAACTCTGCGGTACACTGAAGTGAAATATTGTCGTCGTGTTGTCTTGAAACAAGATTCCTTGGCTGTTCAAAAATAATTTGTGGGACTTGTGTCTGAAATTCCACTTTATGCCACTCATTTTCACCTAACTGAAACATGAAGTTTTTTGACATAAGGGAGTTAGTTAGCTGTTGGATGTTATGCAGTTCGGCTGTCCGTTTCCTTATGCGTTTAGCGATGTACACACTGATCACATCCTGTTTGTAGTAGAACATGCCTAACATCTAAAA